TAAAGGGGCGATTTATATGTGAAGTTTTTATTTGAACAAAATACTTTGATTTTGTGCCACAGGACCATAAATTGTGTGTGCTATGAACGATAAAGTCTGATGTCCTCCAGTCCTTACATTTATTTATATAGCAGACTTGAGCTCTGCGAGGGTATGAAACATTCATGGTATTATAACCATATTCCCCTCCCTGCCACTCTATAAATAACACAAACATACATGAGAAATGTATTGTATAAACTTATTTAATCCTTATTAACTTGATTAGTCATATGAACTGCATTTTTGTCTACTTTAACTTGTCAGTGACATGGCTCGTGTGAATATGAACCTGTGCATTGTTTCAGCACTGGGGTGTCAGAGTACTGGCCTGCGACGTGTTTTTTAATCATTATTAAATCCTCAATCCGCATAAAATCTGAATTAGTGTGAATTGGGAACACTGGATGTAATGGACATTTAATGTCATTATAATATAATATTTATGTGTGACAGATATTAACATCCATGGACACTGTTACCTGTCAATTTTCAACAGTGTATGTCAATTGAATAAGGAGAGCAGCTTCTTAAAAATGTCTCCATGCATGGAGTTTAAGTATTTCATTTGATATTTGTTGGGATGCAAACCGTTCTTTATTGTTTAGTTACTTTTAAACTAGTCTTTCAAACGTAAAGGTAAATACCACTTTGTGGTTCCTACATTACTTGTTTGACAAAAACCTGTTAATATGAAATGAATCAGCTGACAGTTGCCCTTTTACAGGGATCACATGACAATCAGGAGATGGAGCCATTATCACCTGCTGATCACAATGAGCCAAACACAGAGGTAAATATGCATTGGGGCGTCATCCATGTTTAATTATAATAACACATGCTGATTTAATACAACGATACTGTTAAATAACCAGTTTTGGACTGAGCTGAGGTAGGGATATTGTAGTGTTTTTGTATAAGGAAGGTAATTTATATGTGAGGTTTTGTACTTGCATGCTGGGTTTTAGATAAAGTACCCAGACTCTCCCATGGTGATTCCAGTCCACACTGGCTTTTACTGATTCAATTCTGTGGCGTCACAAACATTCCCTTGTTGTAATACAGCTTCACCTTCTGCTGTTCACAGGTTACAGAGGAGAGCAGCACTGAAATCTGAAGGATCCTAACCACACTGTGTTGTTGTCAGATTGCCTACAGTCTTAAGTTTCCAAGTCCTGTTGTACAACCAAGCTGATCAGATGAACAGTCACCAGATTATCAATGATCTGTTACAATTCATTTTATTAGACTTGAAAGACTTTTCTGGGTAGCAGATGGACATTTGCTTGGACAGACTGGCATGGAAAAGTGTATCTGCAAAGACTCATACTGGGAAGGACCAGTAACTCAGGACAACCTGCCAGTCTTTTGTAAATATGTGTGTGTGATTTTCGAACCTTTATTGTGTTCTTTACAATATTAAAATGTACATTATAATTATCTGTAATTATTCTGAATAAATCCTCACTGTTTTTTATTTGTCTGTGGCTCCGTTATGCTCATTCTGACTCTTGATGATTCCTGTAATTACTCTGTTCTCCTCTTTGATTATTGATGGTGTCTTTGCTCAGAACATGGAGCAAACAAGCCGGGGCATGACTTTGTGGGTCCTGCATGATGGTTTTGGGTCTTATGAACTTTATTTATACTTTATTTCTTGGAAGTGATAAATCCAAAGAGAATTTGCTGTTAGATTAAGTTTAAAAGCATCTTAAGCTATTTGTTGCTGCCACACTGAGTATATTTGTAAGGCTGTCGGCTGTTGACCTGAATGTCTTCCCTGTAATGGGTGTGTTGCTACCGCATGCTGGTGTGTTTCCCGTACAATGACGGAGGATCGCATTAAACTAACATGGTACGATGCATCGTTAGACTAACATCTGAAGTACGACTGTTTCCCAAGGCCATCGTACTTAGTACCACAGTAGTTTGTACCATGTTCATACTACAATGGTCCCAGAAGTGCTTGGTCTGACTTTCACAGCGGAAAGTATGCAAAAAAACTTGCAAACTTTAAAATTATTCCTAAATATGACACTTGTGACAATATTACATTATTAATTTATTTATAGGTGCTCAACAATAATTCATTTCCACATTCTCATAGCGATGGACTCCTGCTTAATCATATCACATCTGTCAGCACGGCTTTGTGTCTGACGACACGACTCACAGCAAAACCACCAACTTATCTGATGCACTCTATTGCAGGACATTCTACAAAGCTTAACGTGAAAAAGCTTCCTAGCCTTTCGGGTTCGATTTTTTTGCCAGGTATAAGTGTTTATGACCAGATATGTCTGAGAGAAAATTGGTGACTATTGGTTGCTATTTCAGTGCATTAAGCCATGTTAAGCTTTTTCCTTATAATGGAAGTCAATGGAGAAAAAAATGCATTGTCACATTAAATAGCTGACATCCACATCATGGAGCAGACTCCCCGCAATCTGGAAAAACCGCATCAAATGTTTTGTTTCCATTCGCAAGTGAGGCAAATGCCTCTAATCGGGAGCTTGGGGGGGAGGAATCACTAATCGCTTTCACACTGAGCCTGGGGGGGGGATCACTAATTGCTTTCACCCTGAGCCTGGGGGGGGGATCACTAAT